TTTGGATTTAATCGCTGCAAATCGTCTTCAAATTGTTTGGATGCAGCGACTCTGCAGTTACATATTTAATAAAATAAAAGGGTGATGCAGCTGACAGAACATTCTGTGCAAGTGGGTCATTTGCTTTGGTTCGTGTTGGCACTCGTGACCTCTGCTCTGTCACGGTGCCAAGTCACTTGCAAAGAGCAATACTTGGGGTACTGTGTCACTCCTCATCATACAGCGTTTTGGGCTGAGGCCTTTTTACTGTCAGGGGGCCCTCAGCCTTCAGGGTCTCCTCTGCACTGCCAGCTATCGTAAAATAAAGACCATTATGTTTAAAGGAATCAGTGGAAGCTTCAGAGAACATGCCAGCTTGGTGTCCAGTGAAATAGTTGAAGTTAAATTACTAACGAACACATTATTAATGTGGTTTTCGAGGGAAATTATGTTTTTGGACAAAAAATAGGTGGAATTTATTTTATTTTTTGTTGAGAAAACGTACTGATCAGATCTGCTGTTTTGTTGTTGTATTGCAGAGACAAGGATCTGGGGCAGCTGCTGGCAACAACAAGACTACTGGAGGACAAGGTAAAAAAAAAGAGATAAGACATTAAGCTTTTTATGATCTTATTTGGTAACACTGAAAAAACTGTGTACTATATTAGATTGCAAAGCAAAGAGAATGATTTATGTATGCATAAGTACATCAGATTGTACTATTAGTGTATCTGACATGATTCTTAAATGATTGACAGTAATAGAGGCTGAAGGATTCGCACACACACACACACAAACACACTACGTAACCTTAGGGTTTCTTGTCAGATCTAGTCATGATCTTATAGAAGTTTCAGAGGAAATGTCTATGTTGATATGACAAGAAGAATTTAACCAAAGCATTTAACTTTTTTGAAAATATTTATATTTTCCTGAAAATAATTAGTCACATTTGCATTTATGGTAGACACAGATCACAATTGCACGATTGTGACATTAACTCAAGAAGGTGGCATTTTTTTTTCTAAATGAGCACATTTATTATTGTTTCCAAGTTGATTGGTATCAATCAATCATACATTACTTTTAAATAAACTTTGTGGCCTCAGAGTGTCCTCATAAATCATTTGAAATAGCCAAAGTTTGTTCTGAACTTCTGTCTGACTCATGGGGGTGAAACAATACACCGGGACAAAACAGAGATGACCATCAACCTCTGTAAACATGTTTCTCTGATGATTGCTTCCCTCAACAGAGATGAACTGCCTCCATCCAGCAGTCCTTGGGGAAATAAAAATCAGGTCCATGTGCCAAGTGTGTTACAAATCATGTTTATTGTTGAGCCTCTGTCATTAAAGCTATCACAGCAAAGAGAATAAAGTCTTCACCGACAAAACTGATGTGCTTCCAGCTTTCACCGCCCTCTAAATCATGGAGTGATTTGATGTGTTGCCCTGACTCAGCACTGGATCCCAGTGCTAGGTGCTAACAAAATTAACTATTCTGACATTATGAACCAGAGATTTTACTTCTTATTTGCCAATGTTCGTATTGATACTTAAAGACGACAACTTTGCAGCATCATATTAATTGGAGGCCTTGAGTGCAACATTACAATACATTTTTGATGTAATACCAAGACCCCATATTTTAGGATTTCATATGAATTTAAAAAAAAATCCGATAGGTTCTTAAAAAAAATCAGTCAAAACCAAAAGTTTTTTTTTTGTTTAGTACATTTTTTATCGCGCCTATTTGTTCTTTACACTAAATAATGGTCTTTAGCATTGGGACAGAAAAGTCAAAATTAGCACTGTTTGTAAACTCTTAAGTTGGCTGTGACTTTTTTCCCTTAAAAGAGCTCTTACAGGAACAGTTGAAACAGCAAGTTTCAGACAAACCTGGACAAAAGAGGTGTAGAAGAGTGGGTAAATCAACTTTGATGGAGCCCTAATAATGAAAAAATTAACCTACAGATGGTCAAGGAGCTTGGACTTAGATTGTGCCAGTATTAGAGTCTAAGTTGAAATCTTCTAGCTGTGATACAGGGCTGTTGGTAGGTACCCTAACTTTTAGCAGGTTTAACAACCCGTGACTTGCATGGAAAAAACGTTCCTTACGCTTTTATAAAGAATAATAAATCACCTTATTTAGCAAAGTCACCGTTCAGCCACATTATTCGCCACTGGCATTTAATGGGATCCAGATGATTTCAAGTAGCTAAGACATTTTCATACGGGGAACAATTTTCACAAGCTGTAAAATTCAGCCCTGCCTTTTTACTCTTAATAAAAGAAAATGTGATAGAGAGTACATAGCTTGCAGTACACACACACAATGTAGGGCTTTGTTGCCTGACCTTGAAAATTAATTTGTAACCTGTAAAAACTGCTTCCCCAGCGCATCTCTTAATTCAGAGCGACACGGAGAGTACACTCTGTGAAACTGGAAGAAGAGAGAGAAAAACTGCTATTGACTCTGGCCCCCTCTGCATCCCCAGGCACACAGCTCACAGTTTAAAGACAGCCTCTCACACACTCAAGGACGGCCATAAACAGATGTTTTGATATTCAGGCAAACTTCATTTGACCCAGGTTGGGAATACGTTTTTAAATATTGCAGTTATCGGTATGTTGGAGGGCGAAATGTTAGCTGGTGAGAGAACAATTTTCGAAGTTCGCCAAATAGATTCAGTATTGTACCTTTGCAGTATTGTTGCCTTTGCAACTTCCTGCACATGTTTAACGGAGAGGGAAACTTTGTTGATTTGATTCATTAATGACATTAATGAAAGATGTGTTTAGCACAGTCTTTGGTGACTGTCCTGTGCAGGTGGAGGCTGTCATCCATCAGCCATTTTTGAAGCACGTTTGCTGTCAGCAGAAGATGGCGGGCACTCAATATCAATGACTGTGTAACTAGCGTAAGGCTGCAGGTTGTCAGCAATCCTACAGCTATAGATACGAAATAGAGAAACAAAGACAAGAAATAACAATTCCAAAGTAAAAAAAACGGCAAGTTTAATTTGACATCTTTCATTTTACTGTTGGAATGAATCTATTACAAATAATTAAAGATTAAGAAAGTGTAATTTCCTGGTGTTAATAATGGTTACAGTAGCATACATTTTAGTAACAATCAGGATCAGGTTTGTCCTATCAGAAGTAAGTACACATTTAGTTAAAATAAAATACATGTTTTCCATCTGCACTTTAGGAACAACTTTCTTTATCCTCTTGATGGAAGATGATTATTATCTTTGAGTTGCTTTAGCAGAATGAAGTCAATTTGCCTCTAAAACATTGAAAAAATTGAAGTAGAAAATAGTCAAAATATCTTTTACTTTAATTTGCAGTGCTGAAAGACAGTAAAACAAGTGCTCATCTGTAACTGACATGGTTGTAGACCAGATGTCGCGTATTTGTACCATGTGTTCAACTTCTGGACTGACCTTTACGTCACACAGTGCAAGTTACACTGCAACAGCTGCTGGGATCAAACTGCTGGAAGAAAGCACATTGTCTGCAACATTAAAGGATAAACACACGATAATCCTTCGGTTAGACACAGTCCTGCTGGATGTTCTGTGAATATTTGCTTTTTCATTTCAAACATCACAGATGAAAACTGTTTGGTTTATGTAAAGGTTAAGCTTTGTGTGCATCATTGAAGGAGACTGTGGAAAATACCACATCAACAGCCCCAACCGTGGAGGCGTACTTTCAAAAGAACTCACCTTAGAGATCAAACACGCCCTTTTATAATTAGCTTTGAACAAGCTCTAAAAGTGACGACGACCCATTTACTTGCCCGTTTTTAATTAGTGTTGCTGAACTAAATTATTGCTATAATTAATTTTTCTTCTGTCACATATTGTGTGTAAATGCAAACCTCACGACTGTCTCGGAGACACTGAAATGCTGGAAAAGGCTGAGACCACATTTCTCTTGCAGCTTTTTTCTTAGCGTCCCACATTTTCTGCTTCCTCATTGCAAATCTGTTATCTACATCCAAGTGGGTTACTCACAAGATCTCCAAAGCAAAAAAATTAATGAATAAAGAAGAGAACTCACAGTGCCAGTCAATACACAAGCAGTCCTTCATGTGTGTGTATTGATTTATGTGGCCTTTTACACTTTGCTGCCTCTTTAGAGTTCCAAGGGTTCTGGGTTGTTGACATTTCCATTTCTTTTTACGCGATAAATTATGTACACACAGAAATACTGACATTTGCCTGCACGCAAATAAATTCACATTCCTGTGCACACATGCATCTGTATGTACACAATGTACATTTGCACAAGCCCAAACACTGATGTCTTTTACAACACTGGATTCATTTTTTATAGTATATTTCTCTGAATACAACAAGAAAGGCAGCTGGGGCTGTTTCATGCTATTGTTAGCTTTAGTTTACATTCTTGTTTTAGATTTCTTTTGTTATAGCACAAGTTAGATCAAGTGATGCTGTTCCAGGTGCTTTAAGTTATTTTTTTGGATGGATGTTCCGTTATTACATTATTTACGGGGGGCTATTTTCGCCATTTGTCATAATTACCCTGTGATCACCAATGTCCCCGGCCTTTTGACATTGGGTAATTGGGGGTTGCAGTTGAAAAATTGCCCCTATTGGACATCACTTCCTTTAAGAGGCTTATACATCAGCAGTTGCCACTAATTCCTTTTTCTGTCTCTATCTTATTCAGTGCAAGCAGATGCAATGTAATCGGGCTCCTTTGTGATCTCTCACACACCATATCCATCCATCTATTTTAACACAAACTTAACTTTATTCTGGATTGTGGGATACCCTAGACAGTCCCAAGGCCACCACAGAAACTAATGAAACATCCATACATGTTCACACTCAGTGAGGTTGTTTTAGATTCTTTGATTTGGAATGTGAAAGCTGGGGTACCAAGTACCAAAAAAGAACATGCAAACTCTATTCAAAGAGGCCCAATGTAATGGCAGAACCTGAAGCAAGTGCTAACTACCACAACACTATGCAACATCTAATGATGAAGTGGAAACACTCCTTTTTGTTCATCGGAACAAAATCAGGATACAATGGTGGGACAAGGGGGTGGCATGGGCTGAGAGTCTATTAATTAGCTGGTCTCAACAGGACAAAAGTTACAGATTAGATTGCTGAAACTGTCCTCCACAACTAATTATGGTCCAACCTGTTTTTTTTTTTATCAAATCAACTCAGCCACAATCTTCACAGTCCCGAACCACAGCTGGCCAAAATTCCCATGACCAGAAAAGGCTGGATGGCACTGTGATAGAGGTGCAGCTGGAAAAGAGCTGACAGCAGCACTAGTTGACAAGTACTTGTCAACTAATACTTGTCAAGTACTGTCACCTCTAACAGTGAAGTGTAATTACTGTCAGCTATAATTACAAAGCGCTAAAATATATTTTATTTGATCTATTTATCTATTTATGGCATTATTGTAATAACTGCCCATCCTTTTTTTAAATAAAAAAAACAGCTCTTCTGAACTTTTCTCACCCATTTGTGTTACTTTTTGTTCCCCTTTTTACTCTTCTAGCAGACATATGAGCTGACTTTTTATCACACTTCAGTTAGAAATCTAAAAGGTGTGGCACAGGAAACTGTAGTTACTCATATAACATTCACAGCAACATTCTAGTCTTGGATAGATATCCACCCAGTGTGTAAAACACTGAAACACTTCCATTTACTTTACTTTCCACAATCTTTCTTTCTGGTCTTAGGGTCCTAAAGTCCTCCCTTGCTGTCACACGCTCACACTAATCCCTCTCTTGGCTCAATAGATCTTAAGCATTGAAATCAATAAGACGTCCCACTTTCCCTGGGCTTCAGAGAGGCTTTTAAAAGACAATTTGAGAAACAACCAACCAAGAATGTCTTAAGAAAGTCTCAATGTGACACTAAATCTATCCTATCTGAGCCATGGATGAAGCAGCATGCCATTAAGTCATCTCCTAATAGTTTGTCTCCTGAGAACTGGGGATCGTACAATGTGAGCGATGAATGCAGGATCCCCTACATCAGAACACTCTTTTTTTCTCCTTGCTGAAAGATTTTTAGGAGATCCATGGTACCGTGGTAGGATATATCACACTCATTTGTTGAAGACAGGGACAGTGAAAGGGCTGTCAGATGTAATAGGGTTGATAATCCATTGGGCGTGCGTGTGTTGAGGAGTCAAATCCTCATACAGAACCATCCATCATTGTCACATTCTGCTTCCAGTCTGGCAAAAAAACGATTAAAAGAAATCTTCCGTCAGGACTCAAAGTCCTTATAAAGATAGTTGTATGGCTCTTTCAGATTGATGTCTGATTGCTCAGGATTAGGACTTCACTAGTACAATACACAAAGAATAGACAGTCATTTTGTATAGACTCTGAAGTCACACATTCTAATAATGACATAAATAGATAACAGGAAATAGTCATATTTGGTGCAAAGAGCATACAACTGAGGGTCTGAAGGCCGAGTTCACTTAAGAAAAAGGAACTGTCACTGAGGTTGCTTGAAGTAAACTGGCTGTGAGCAGTCAGAACATAGCCAGGAAGCAAATAAGCAGAAAATATGACACTAGAGCAAAGTTTCCTGCCTGATTAAGGTGTGAAATATGTTTTAACTAAAAAACAGTCAATAGTCAACTGCACAAAAGTATGCCAAAATAGATACCTTCCTCATTTTTCTGCTCTGTTTACATCCCTTGATGAATATGTGACTCTGTCATTGAAGTCATGTTAGCAAAGGGGGTAGAAGTCAAACTTTGACAAAAATGTTAATAACATCAACACTACAAACTTGATTTCAGACATCTTAAAGTAAGCTTTCTACTGGGTTTGTTTTAAGCGATCCACACACCAACAGGACTGTTTTCTAGAAGCAGCTTTTTAAAGAAAAATCATTTATTTATATTGAGTCCAATTGGGCTCATGGCTCCCTGTACTCTTGTCTAGATGAAAGGCCAAAATGCCTAGTCTATATATTTCCTATGTGAAAGTTAAGAAAGTCTGAGGAAAAGTTTACTTTTCATCACTGACTCATTCATAGCTTTGATGAAGACTGTACATAGGATAGATTATAAAAATATCTGGGCTTGACACAGCAGATGGCTGAGGTAACAACTCAATTGCTAAGGCTGCAAGGATGGAAACAGCAGGCACTTGTGAATTGGAAAATTCAATATCAATTAATGCAGGATTCAAAGCTTAACTTGACACAGCAGTTAGTGTTCCCCCTTGAACAGCAGAAGAGAGGTACTCAGGCTCAGCCCCAAGGGACCCTAAGGATTAGCTGCACAGTCAATACATGAGTCGCCTCTCTGCTTCTCAACTCGTCTGTCATGTCTTTCTCTACAGTAAGCTCTGCTGATCAAACTTGAGCAGATTCATCCTTTGCAAGGCCTTTGCGAAGCACAGAAAAATGAAGTAAACTGCCTCTCGAGTCTTGTTTTGAAACTGTTGTTCCTCCAAAAACTGGTAATTCTCGTATACTTCCTAAGGTTTATTCATAGTCCAAGAATAACAAAGAGGAACCACATTGTTTGTGTTATTCTCAAGTCGTGGATGAGAGAGCCGCACTCGGATCAGCATGAAGAAGCAGCTTGTCATGGCCGCCGGGTCTGAGTAGCGCTGCCTCATTGAAGCATAAGCTGCTGCTTATGTTCGAAATCATCACAACCCTTATAGTAACAGTGGAACTGCTCCTACATTTCTGTTTTGTCATGTTTAGAACCAAGTTGTAATGGCATGTGAAAGGAGCTCAAATGTGAAGTATTGGTGCAAATGTTTAGTTTTTATAAAGCATAGTTCATGGGTAATAAAGCAAATGTAGTCACTTGGAAAAAAAAAAGTCAAAATTTTGTTTGTAAGAACTCGCATAAAAGAATAGTCCTGCCATAGTTTTGTAGCTTCAGTGAGCACAGAACTTAGAATTTTAGCAAGTCTCCTGGTTCAAAGACCCAATGCTCAGTCAGACATCCTAAGAGTCCGGCTTACTCTATAGACCTCAGTTAGCGTGTTCAAGACAGCTACATCATTTGAATAAACTAAAGAACTTCTGGAACAGCATCTTTTGGACAGACCAGACCAAAGTGGAAATGTTGTCAGAATTCACCGTGTTCTGTTTAGTGAAAACATCACCTGATACCAACCTGGACCTTGACACTTTACAGTCATCAAGTTGACCATGAATTGGTCCCTATACAAGAGTACTCCAGAGATAAATGCTAGGCCATCTGCCTGACAGCAAAAATCTTGCCTGGAATTGGGTCATCTCACTGAACAATGATACAAAGCACAGAAATGAATATATTCAAAAGAAAAATAATCAGACCACAGCATGACTGAAATGTTTAGTGTAGGTGGTTCTGCAAACCACTGATTGCACTCAGCTTTCACACACTTAACTTTTATGAAATATGTCATATTTAATAATTTGTCTGAAGGTTCTGTTGACCTTATTTTAAGATTTGGTAAAGACCAGATGAGTTTTCCTCGTGCCATGATATCCAACAGCTGAAAGATGAGCAATTAGTGTTTTACAAATGCAAGTCAAAAAGCCCATTGGTTAAAGTCAAGCCTTTTCATTGAATGTGTTTGATGTGCTTGAGGAAATTAGAGAAATTAGATGTCACTGCCATAGCTGAGCATTTCCACCATGGAAACACTACATGCCTGCTGTGTCTGAAAGCCTGGAACTAATGGATTCAGAACAGCAATTTCATACTGTGGTCTTTGGTGCTGCAGCAAATTATCGCACACTGTTTGAATCGAAGCAAACAACTGGACAACTTGTTGAACTAATACAAATGAATACATTAAGTGAATGGAGACAAACGAGCATCCAGAAATGAGTCATTTTCCCAACATTGAGGCTTTGGAGTTGAGGCTGAGCACCAAAAGCCAGTTGTTTATTGCATAAAGACTACCGGAGTGCAACACAGCATGTTACTTTATTGACCAGGAGATAAAACACACTCCTCCTCACTAATGCGTGATAAGCCCATCTTGAATAGGTTTTTACTGGGATTACAGTTGTGTCCCCTATGTCAGTGCTGGCTGAGCTCCAGAGAGGATTAAGAACTGGTGATCAGTTTTCGCTTTGCCCTTTAACCTGGGAGACAACAGCAACCCTGTAGGAACAGTTTGCCATCTGACGCGACAGTAGAACCATGGATGTGAGAATGGTTTCACTGACTGTTATATAACTCATACATTAAAAAAAAAAAGAAATGTTGGCTTTTTAAATTGAGAACTGCTTCCTACAGATTAATTTAAGTGGCACTCTGGAACTCTGCAGTAACATACAGCTCTGTGTTATCACACGTTGGTGTGACTTCAGCCTCTGCCTCATGAACAGGCATGAACAGACATTCAAATTTTTGCCTTGATGGTTGCTAAGCAATACTCAATTTGTATTGACTATTGGAGCCATGCTTTTCAAATCACAGCATCCTCTTTTGTGTCCCCCCCCCGCCCCCCCCAGATGCTTCCAAGACGGACGTTCCAGAAGACTTTGACATTGACATGGATAATCCAGAGACCGAAAAGGCAGCGGTCGCCATCCAGTCCCAGTTCAGGAAGTTCCAGAAGAAGAAGCGCAATGAGAAGTCCTAGTGAGCGCCATGTTGCTCTGTTGCTGTGTGTCGGGTTAGCAGGTGGAGGCGACGGCACAGTGATGACGGTGTGACATTTGCATGTAAACAAATTCATACCTGTTGAAACTCAAGGGGCTTGTGAAGGGTTTTTGGGGTGGGGGGAAGAGCCTGTTATTAAAATTACATGTTGATGAATTCTCACTATCCAATTATTATAATTACTGCTATTTATTATTTCGACTACTATATCAATGAATAGCAGAAAGAACTAAAATGATCTTATTTCTGGCCTGCCATACATGTTCCATATTTCATGAACTCTAGCTGGTGTTTGTGTTAGAATATGTTTTTGTACTTGCTCTCACGATGACCTCTTTATCATCCCTTTCTGTCCTGCTTAAGACCATGTTCCCCCATAAGCACCTGTGTATTGAGTGTAGATGAGCGAGAGTTGTTGTTAGAGTAAAGGCTGTTTTTAGGAAAATGGAGCTTTTCATTCATCGAAAAGCATTTTTCTTTACCTGCATGTTAACCATCAAAACTGTGTATCGGTCTACATTGAATAAATAAAAGTTATGTGTGGGAAACTTTGTGAAGAGTTTGAAAATGTCCGAATCTGACAAACAGCTGGGCTGTGTGTGGCTGCTGAATTGCAACAGTCTGCAGAGGGACTCATAATATTCTGATGACAAATCTATAAATAGAAACGATTCTGAATGAGCTTGGCTGAATCTATTCCCTTCTCAGCTTGATGACCTTCTCCATGTGGAGCCAGCTAACTGAGTGACTGATTCCCACTGAGCTCTTCTCAGCTCCAGGCACTCAGCAATATACAACCGATTAAATTTTGTATTAAGTTTAGGACTGTACAGTGACATTTCACCACAGAGCAGAATAATTTGAAAATATTATTTCTCCCTCTTCTGATCTTAAAATAGGAGTTTTGTTTTAAAAAAAGAGAATATGAAGGAGCCTAACATTTATTTACTGCCTGAGGCACACAGCTGCTGTTTTCCCCTTTAACTCTCCCCCAGCTCTGCATAAGTGATTGTGGAGCCAAGATTCCAGCTGCAAGCAGTGGTCACAAAGAAGCTCTCCACTTTGTGATGTGGGTCATTGCACAGCACAAAGCTATCATCATTATAAAGTATTTTGATAATTCGTTTGGATCAGGAGACCTGAAAAAAAACAATAAATATATCATTGAAAAGGACTGGCACAGAATTACACATACACTATATTGCCAAAAGTATTTGCTCACCTGCCTTGACTCACATATGAGCTTAAGTGACATCCCGTTCCTAATCCATAGGGTTCAATATGACGTCGGTCCACCCTTTGCAGCTAGAACAGCTTCAACTCTTCTGGGAAGGCTGTCCACAAGGTTTAGGAGTGTGTTTATGGGAATTTTTGACCATTCTTCCAGAAGCGCATTTGTGAGGTCGCACACTGATGTTGGACGAGAAGGCCTGGCTCTCAGTCTCCGCTCTAATTCATCCCAAAGGTGTTCTATCGGGTTGAGGTCAGGACTCTGTGCAGGCCAGTCAAGTTCATCCACACCAGACTCTGTCATCCATGTCTTTATGGACCTTGCTTTGTGCACTGGTGCACAGTCATGTTGGAAGAGGAAGGGGCCAGCTCCAAACTGTTCCCACAAAGTTGGGAGCATGGAATTGTCCAAAATGTCTTGGTATGCTGAAGCATTCAGAGTTCCTTTCACTGGAACTAAGGGGCCAAGCCCAGCTCCTGAAAAACAACCCCACACCATAATCCCCCCTCCACCAAACTTTACACTTGGCACAATGCAGTCAGACAAGTACCGTTCTCCTGGCAACCGCCAAACCCAGACCCGTCCATCAGATTGCCAGATGGAGAAGCGCGATTCGTCACTCCAGAGAACGCGTCTCCACTGCTCTAGAGTCCAGTGGCGGCGTGCTTTACACCACCGCATCCGACGCTTTGCATTGCACTTGGTGATGTATGGCTTGGATGCAGCTGCTCGACCATGGAAACCCATTCCATGAAGCTCTCTGCGCACTGTTCTTGAGCTAATCTGAAGGCCACATGAAGTTTGGAGGTCTGTAGTGATTGACTCTGCAGAAAGTTGGCGACCTCTTCGCACTATGCGCGTCAGCATCCGCTGACCCCGCTCCGTCAGTTTACGTGGCCTACCACTTCGTGGCTGAGTTGCTGTCGTTCCCAAACACTTCCATTTTCTTATAATACAGCTGACAGTTGACTGTGGAATATTTAGGAGCGAGGAAATTTCACGACTGGATTTGTTGCACAGGTGGCATCCTATCACAGTTCCACGCTGGAATTCACTGAGCTCCTGAGAGCGACCCATTCTTTCACAAATGTTTGTAAAAACAGTCTGCATGCCTAGGTGCTTGAATTTATACACCTGTGGCCATGGAAGTGATTGGAACACCTGATTCCGATAATTTGGATGGGTGAGCAAATACTTTTGGCAATATAGTGTATGTTCAATACAGTTCGACTGTATACGCTTTCTTTTTTGCACACTAGACTTAAACACTCGCTGTGTAATTGCAGCTTTATGACTTAAACAGCGGCCAGTCTAACACTTTGTGGAGTCCAGAATGAATCACTTGAATAGGCTTTGAGTGGATTGCGGTGACATTTTGCTCGAAACATCCACGCAAAGGATGAATCATGATCATTTCCTCTAGTGAAACCACATGGAGTTGACATTTGTGGTTCTGATGGAAATGCCTGAACAGCTACTGGAGAGACTATGATGAAATTTGATTATATTGTAACATTCACATCCCCAGCAGGATGATCCCTCAACTGTTCAGCTATCTTAATGATGAGGTTAAAATGTCAGATTGTTTCTGAACTAATTATTTGGTGATAGCATCATGGCATAGAATTCAGAAAAGTTAAATACCGTGAAGACAAATCTGCAAATCATCAGTTAATAAGGCGTTCAGTGGATTGGCTCAAAGGACGAATAACCATTTTCAGTGCATTATTTATTATTTATCTAATCCACAGCTTACAACAAAATGAATGATAATTATACTGTATTATACCGAAAAAAAGTCGATAAAGGGGAACAATGGGAAATTATATCAGAAACATGATTATAAAAAACAAAATTCCTGTCTTTGAATTGTCCCAACATCACACCTGCTCTCTTTACAGGAGTTTATTCTTCCTGCAAAGCAAAAGCAAAGGTGGCAATAAAAACCTTGGCAGCAGAGATGTTACAATTCTAACATATAATGGACAACACATTAATTATTAAAAATGGTTAGTATGAATGTGCATGCTTTAAATGATATGAGGCTTCCATGTAAGTCTATATTAGCATTTTTGTAAGCCACTTCAGGCTTTTCTAGACTTTTAGTAGGAATTCTATATATATAAATTAGAAATGCAGGGGAAAAAAGCGATTGGAATAAGTGTATCATTTTAAATTGCTGAGATTTTAATGGTTCCTGAGATTTTCATAGAAACTCAACACGCAGTCCAGTGCTGGGTCCCCTGAACCATGTTTCATCAAGGTCAGTGATGACCTTTGCACCACTGGGTATTGATCCTGCAGATCAGCTTTGTAAGCCTGAGAGGATTAAAGTGCTGAGACAAGTGCACTCAATTTCCTCATTTCAGGGGACAAGTGGTGCATAAGAAATACGAAAAGTGCTTCTAATGTAAAAATGAATTTGTGTTTCAGTGACGGTACTTTAACATGCTTATTTCTCACGCAACATGCTAATAAAAGCAGATGCCGGCACATAGACATGTACCTTTAAAATAAACAGTGTTGTGACCATTGGATTTTTCACTGAAGGTCTTATGCAAGGCATACTTTTTATTATTCCTTGTTTGCTTGCTTGCTTTTTTTAATTCTCCATCCTGTTGACTACTAAAAAGGTTCCTACGGCATACAAAATCCACAGAGGTCCTGCCAGACACCTTTTTCTAATTGTCTCATCTGAGTCTTGAGAGTATTTGAATTATAACACGAGGAGGGAGATTTCATTATGATCTTGCATCATGACAACCACCTTCCTCTCTTCTCACGTAGATACTTCTGGGTGCTCGCTCCATCCCCGGGGTGGGGGTGGACGGCGTGGTTCTTTCACCAAGAAATTGGAAATGAATAAGGGGTTATGATAATGGATGAATGGGTGAATGTTACAACACTGCTGTATCATGGCAGAGTTGTCCAATTATGAAAGGATTTTTTACAATTAGAATTTTGAAATCAACATGGACACTTTCTTTGTGCTCTCTGAGATCAAAGCAACAGTGGCAAATGTGAAAGCCTTGGTGGAATATTTGAGTGATAATGACATGTTAAAAAACAGGCAATATCACAGTGTTTATGATCAATTTCCCACTATAATTATTGCTAATAATTAATCATCTATGTCCTCTTAAAGTCTCTTATTTCCATGCTTGGATTACTACTAGTTCCTAGACTGCTTATGGAGCATTTTCTTTTTCTTTTTAAAAATAAACCGTCTCTTACATTTATGATTTGCTTTGTTGCTTGCAAACATGGGGATTTCCTGCACAGTAGTGTAATTGTCCCAGTAGAGGAGATGTATGATTCTACTATATTAGATTCATTAAAATTGCATTAGTCATTAGGGGCTTGTCACACTAATAGTAAAACGAATTTGTTCTAAATAATGAGTGCGTCTGCCTGTGAGCGTGGTGTGAGGAATGTCACTGCTTTGGAAAAGAGAAAAGCCTTACTGTGTGTACAAATGACTGATGCCACGAGTGGAATGAGAATAATTATGACTTTCACCTCCTAAAGTCCTCTGCTTGGAGTCCATCAGCGCACAGCTGTACGATTTGTCTCCTCTCTCTCTTTGCTACATGTTCCCTCTCTGGGGATTTCTTACAAGCCACAGTTTTCTTTCTGCTGATGGTATACTTTTTGCAAGCAGACAGAAACATGGGTAATTCTGGTTGATATACCAACTCAAGTCAAAAGTCGTAGTGCAGAGCAAATAAAAAAAAAGGACATAATTGTAA